GCACTCTGTGTAGGCTCAGGGGCCCTCCTTCTTTCTGACAGATCAGCTCCGGCACTCTCTGTAGGCTCAGGGGCCCTCCTATCAGCTCCGGCACTCTGTGTAGGCTCAGAAACCCCTCCCGCTCCGCCTTTACGACCCATCGCTCCGGCACTCTGCGTAGGCTCAGAGGCCCTCTTGCCCCTCTCCCCGGCCCCTCGCTCCCTGAGCCGGACTCACGCGCCGCTCCGCCATCCCAGGACCTTGTTCCGGTAGCAGGCGATCTCGAAGCGCTTCCCGGCCCGCTTGATCCGCACCACGGCCACGTTTGTGAGGCGGATCTGGTTCGTCGGTGTGAAGATCGACATGGTGGCGAAGGTTCAGGCCGCTCCTCCCGCACTGAGCCTGCGCAGCAACCGCCGCTGACCAATAGAGAGGCGCCTTCCGCGAGAGCAGGGCCCAAGTCTCGCGAGAAACGAGAGTAGCCTTGGCAGGGAAGCTTCGGTAGAAAACGTCCGGGTGGGAAACCGGAGCCAATGACGTAAAGTTCCGGCGAACAAAAGTCTCCCCAGTCCTTCTCAACAGAGGGGTGTGGATGGGTGCAAGATCTGAGCCGAAAGCAACGGAACTTACTTTAGAGTAGATCTGTTTTCGAGAGCTTTTTTTCCCCCTTTCCTGGGGATCTTGTTCAGAAGAAAACGCCACTTCTTTGGCTTCGAAAGTCTTCCCCCCCCAAAAAATAACTGTATATGGATGGTGGGCAGCGCAGCCTAGTGGTTACGCCGCCGCTGCTTGGCGGTGGGGATGCTGGGAGTTGTCGTTCCCCAAAAGTCCCTTTTCCAAAGTTCGGAAGGGCTGCCCCCGCTTGAGAGAGAGAGCGCGGCAGTCATGCATTCCTTTTATTCCAGCTAAACAATGGGAGGGACTTCGCTTTACATCCGATTCCAGCTAAACAATGGGAGGGACTTCGCTTTGCACCCGAGATGGCTGAATAAATAAATAAAGATGTGTGTTTTCAATAGGAAATTGGAAACACACGCACAAAGAGAGAGAGAGAAGAGGCAACTCCCCAGCCTAGGAGGAGAGGCAAGCGTTCCTCTGCAGGCCCGAAAGGGTTAAAAAAAACCCCACGCCTTCCCAGCATGCCGAGCAAAGGGGGCGTGGCCCAAGATGGCCGCCTCCAGGCGGTCGTGGTCTCCTCGGGAGTAAGCCCGGCTCCCTGCCTGCCCGGAGCCCCCTTCCTTCCCGGAGGGAATCCCTGGATCGAGGCCGGGGCGACTCCTCGCCGAGGAGGGCATGGGTAAGACGGGGGTGGAGGGGGAGGAGAGAGAAGCCTCCCCGGGGCTCTACTCGGGAGTAAGACCCGCCCGAAGTCCAAGGGTAAGGGAGGGGGGTTTCCTCGCGAGTCAGTCCAGGAGAGGAGACCCAGGGGCGGGAGTCCGGTCGCAAGCAGGTTCCTCCTTACTTCCGAGGAAGCCCCCACGGAAAGCAGCGGACCTGTCTTCTGAGGAAGCGGGTCGAAGAGCCTTCCCTCCCCCAGGAACGCCCTTATTGTGAGAACCGGTAGGGAAACACGTGTTGATCGCCCACATATGTGCAGTAACTTGTAACGCTGATCTACAAACAGAAAGGTTTGAGATCCATCCGTGCATCTGTATGTGGGTGCTTGTGGGTGTGTACATACACACACGTGTAGATAGTCTACAAACAGAAAGGTTTGAGATCCATCCATGCATCTGTATGTGGATGCTTGTGTGTGTGCGCGCACATACACGTGTAGATAGACTGACAAATGTATATATACTGTATGCAGATATACTGTACAGTATATTGCATATGTCAATGTGTGTGTGAGCGTATACATCGATCGTGCAAGCATACCTAAAAAATAAAGAAGACAAAAAGGTTGTGGCCCCTCAAAGACTAACTGCTGTACAGTATTTTATTGTGAGCTTTCCTGGATCAAGTCCTCTTCCTAAGGCTTGTCCACAAAAAGCTCACCTTCAAATATAGTAGGTGGTCTTTAGGGTACCACCAGTTTTTTGTCTTCTTTATTTTTATTTTTCCTGATATGGTAGCACAGACTCACATGACTGACTTTTTTCTCTCTCACACACACGCACAGAGAGACACTCACACAGGCTTTAGAAAGCACTATCATGCAGCATCAATTTTTTATACTGTACATTCCCTTTTCAGCTAATGAATCCCAAGATACTTTAGCACAAAATCCCTGTCTGAAGTGCAAGTGTTATTATACAGTATGTTGATTGGTAAACCTTCGATGTAAGCTGGTGTCGATTTGGGAACCCCTAAACAGACCCTGCTGTTCCACCTTGTGGCCCTGAGCAGGCTTCACGCCCAGGCTGACTGGGAGATTCATGGGACTTGCAGTTTTCCTAAGGGCTGCAAAGTGGGCATTCCTTGAGGATGATGGGCATGGTTGTGCTCTGTTTTAGAAATGTCCCTGGAGGAGCCATGGAGTGGTCTCCATGCCCACCTGACCTTCCTGTGGCTGAACCGATTTTACCTCTACTCCTGTGCTGCTTTAGGGATCAGTCTTTGGATCTGCCTCCAGTTGCTCCTTAAATCCAAAAAGCAGGTATGTCTGGATCTTTCTCACGTCTACATGCTTTGGGAGCTAAATTCTCCCTGATGAGGCCTTATACTGCCCCTCCGACTGCTCAGCAGAAGCGGACCAACTTCTGTGGGGTTTGGTTTATCCCAGCTGGGTTCAATTTTGGAAGTGCCCCTCTTTTCTCTGTTCCCAGTCATTCCAGGACGGTGCAAATGCCTAACCACAACTTTTTCTGCTTAGCTATATTTATTTAAAGTTATTTGCTACAGTTGTATGCTACTTTTCCTCAGTTTTCCTTTTCTCTGTCCAGGGTGGTAGATCCTCTGTGGATTTGGGCAGGAAGATTCCTCCGCAGGATGAAGCTAATCTCTTTGGCTTCTATGGTCCCTGCCGTGCTGAGGGACGCAGTATGAGTATTTGAGAGCAGCCGGTTTGCTGTGCAGCTCAGCAGACTGAACAGTTTTTATTTTGTAGGATGGGAATCACCTTAGGAAAGAAAGCCTTCCAGAAGTCACAGATGATCAACAAGGACAGAAGGAACCTCAGGTTCTTAACAAAGTCCATGTCAGTGGGGTGAAGATTTTTTATGGCTCCCAAACAGGAACAGCAAAGGTAACACCTGTGTTTATCACCAGACATGTAAGTTCAAAACATCGGGTTGTGGGAAGCTTCTTGAGCCGATGCGTCGCTGCTTTATCTCTTTCCAGAGGTTTGCCTTCATCCTTACTGAGGCGATCTCTTCCACGAACCTGCCGGCTGAAGTTGTTGACATGAGGGATTATGATCCAGACGATTCCCTAATAGATGAGGTTGGTAATGGGTTTGATTCCCTCTCCTGTTTGTGATTCACTTTTGGAGGGGTCTTGAAAGTTGCCAACTCCCTTCCTAGCGGCGGCTCCTATGCAGTGCATAACTCTAGAGAGGTGCTTTGCTGAGGAGCTGCTGTGATGGATTAAAAAATAATAAGAACACCAACTCATTTCTAAGAAAATGTGAAGCTGTGAAATTTTCTCCTTCTTACATAACAAGCGGGGACTAAGCTTTTTTAAAGGGTGGGGGTCGGCAATCGTATGAGCACATTCACATATTAGTCAGTGAATTGAAGCAAAAGTATTCAGTCTGTGCACCAAAGGTGTGTTAACGTTTTTATGTGCAGAACTCTTTCAGAATCCTAAGACTCTTGCAGAGTGCGGGCAGCGTACAAGTCTAATGGATAAATAAATAAATAATGTGGATAGCAGGTTGCAAATTAATTTAATTTGGGTTGCAGTGAGTTTCAGTGGCTAAACCTTTGAGGATGAGTAACACCTAAATGGAGCTTTTAAACAGTTTATTGTTGTGATTATTGAATTCTGACCAAAAGTTTCAAAATCTTCTTTTTGAATGAGCCACACAGGAAAAAAAAATGTGTGTTGCTTCTCTTTAAAATTTTGGTGTAGGCAAGCAGCCAGAACATCTGCGTGTTCTTAGTTGCCACTTACACCGATGGGAAGCCGACGGAGAATGCAGCATGGTTTTGCAAGTGGCTGGAAGAGGCAGCTAACGATTTTAGAGTCGGCAAAACATATCTGAAGGGTCTGAGATACGCTGTATTTGGACTGGGGAATTCCTTGTACGCCGATCACTACAACATCGTGAGTCCCCCCCCCCTTTTCGTTGTTGTTATTCCTACAAGATAGGATTTGAAAAAGTGTGTCTGTCCGTAACATTTATATCCTTCTTTTACTCCAGTGAGGGAAGTGTGTGGCTTTCCTTTGCCCTCCATTTCCTGAACAACAACCCTATGGGGTAGCTCACGCTGACTAGCTCAAGGTCACTCTCATAAATCTATTACCTAGAAAAATAGTAGGGTTAGGAGTTGTGGCCAAAATCCCCTTGAAGAAAGACCATGGGCACAATTAGTTATTTCTGTAAATAGCTCATGGATTTCTAGTTGTGTCAGTTCGTGTTAAAATAGTCAGAGCTTTCAATGGCAATATCCTGTGCCATCTTCATCAGGGAAGGCAAAATATCAGTTCAAACAAAGTGAACCTTCAATACCTCCAGATACACTCGAACCAGCTGGGTGGACATTCAGGCCAAACCCCGGCAGATCAAAGAGCCAGACCCCTGCCCTGGCCAGCCTTATATAAGGGCAACCAGCAAAACAAGGGCTTCCAGCAAGCACTAAAAATAACGCCACTATCTCCGTGTAAACTGCTTTGAATACCTTTGGTAAGACACTGTAAACCAAAGGTACTAAAGCAGTTTACACTTTTCTACCAAAGGTATCGAAGCAGGGGATAAAAGCTCATCAAAGAGCCAGACCCCTGCCCTGGCCAGCCTTATATAAGGGCAACCAGCAAAACAAGGGCTTCCAGCAAGCACTAAAAATAACGCCACTATCTCCGTGTAAACTGCTTTGAATACCTTTGGTAAGACACTGTAAACCAAAGGTACTAAAGCAGTTTACACTTTTCTACCAAAGGTATCGAAGCAGGGGATAAAAGCTCAGGACTGTTTAATATCCTGTGCCATCTTCATCAGGGAAGGTAAAATATCAGTTCAAACAAAGCGAACCTTGAATACCTCCAGATATACTCAAACCAGCTTAGTGGATGTTCTGGCCAAACCCCGGCAGATCAAAGAGCCAGTCCCCTGCACTGGCCAGCCTTATATAAGGGCAACCGGCAAAACAAGAGCTTCCAGCAAGCACTAAAAGTAACAGCGCTATCTCTGTGTAAACTGCTTTGAATACCATTGGTAGGAAAGAAGATGATTCAAATCTGAATCGAGTGAACCAGACGCAGAATCTAGATTCTACACCTGAAAGATGATGCCAGAAAAGGTGTTGAGGCTCAAGAGAAGGTGCCCTTAACACTTCTTTGCACAGCCTTGTTTTGAGCGTCCTCTTGAAAGGGGGCACAGCTGTGGCACAGCTGATTTCGTTGTTTCTGGGCTTCTGGTTGTGCAGTCTGCCGGTGAAGAAGATCGGCGCATGTGACGGCTGACCTGGGAAGCCAGCGCATCCCCTGGCATGATCGCCCGTCGTGTATTTATTTCAAATATCCCCCCCCTTTTCTCTTTAAAAGGAGCTCAAGGCGGCTTACAACAATTAAAAGGCAATATTTGAAAGCTAAAAACAGTGAGTGTACAAATATTAACAAATAATTAAACATTGTATTATATAAAAAACAGTCAATAAAGTCAGTACTAAAAGCACATTTAAACAGACAGAACACAACAATCTGTTTTAAAATACCTCTCGCATGCAGGGAACATAAGATTCTGGCTTTAAAAATATTCCTACTCCCCCCACCCTTTCTCCACCGAGCTCGGCCTATCCCATACTTTTACCCTGGCCTACCCCACAGGGTTGTTGAGGGAAGGAGGAAGAGAGCTAATAATGGGAAGAAACAGGTTAGGGCCACTCGGTGCATTCCAGCTAAGCCCCAGGTGAGAAACTCGCTTTGCTTTCTCTTCCCACCGTACTGATCACTGGCCTGCCTCCTGCCATCACTGCAGGTGAGCCGCAACGTTGACAAATGGCTGTGGATGCTGGGGGCCCAGCGGGTCTTGTCCTGCGCCCGAGGGGACGCCAACGTGGCCAGGAGCAAGCACGGCAGCCTCGAGGCCGACTTTGAAGCCTGGAAGGGACAGTTCCTGGCCAGGCTCCGGGCCTTGTGCGCCGGGGAGAGAAAGGCCTGCAGCGGGAAGTGCAAGAAAGGCCGGTGCAGATCCCAGCGGAAGGCGAGCCGGGCGGTGTCGGAGCAGGATCCGGGGACGTCCGAGCACGAGGAGAAAGAGGTGAGCTGGAGGGAGCCCAGGCACTTGGCTGCCTTTTTTTTTTAATCTCAGAGATTTTAGGGTCAGAAGTTCTCCTGGTCCAATTTATAATGGAACAGAGAAGCACCCTGAATAAATGAACATCTTCTGCCTTTTCCCCAGATTTCGTCCCCCTCCTGCCTCCCCTGTTTCCTTTTCTTTCCACCCTGTTTTCCCGGTTTCCGTCTTATATTCCCCGCTTTCTGTGTTGCTAAGGTGGATGCTGGTTGCCATCAGCTCGGACCCCATGGGAGACGGTCCTTTCAAGATCTCGAATTCTTCCCAGCAAATAATGCTGTTAAGAGTCCTGTTTCCCCCCTGAGCAGATTCAACCTGACCCACAAAGCCCTCTGAAACGGGCAGGAGCTGTGTTTTAGGACCGTCTTTTGAAAAGTTAAAGGGCGCTTGGGGTTGGTTTCAGCCCGGCCAAAACAGACTGCCAGCCATTTGGTAATGGATCCTAAATACTTTTCTAAGCAGGGGTGGAGAACCCGCGGAAGGCTACATGGTGAGGAACCGCTGCACCTTTTATCCTTCAATGCAGGCCAGCCTGGCTGGAGATGATGGGCTTTTCCAAGACCATGGGTAAACCCAGTCCTGTTAAAAAACTTGCAGATTTCCTAGTTTGGGAACATGGAAATCACTAGAGCCTTTTTCTGGGACAGCGAGCTAGTAGGCAGCTTTGTTTTTCAGCCCTACTCAAAATTTTCTTCCTCCCCAATGCCCTTACGTTGGCTTTTAGGGTATTTTATTGGCAGAGCAATGGCGGCTGGGCTTTTCTGCTGTGTCCATGGCAGAGGTGGGTCTTGAGTGGATTTCTTGTGGGCCTGGCTTTCTCTCGGTTGGATCGCACTCGGGTTTGCTAGACATTGACCAGGGTCCTCTTGGTGTTGGTGTGATTTGCCATGGCTAATTGTAGCTAATGGATGAGGTGTCCCTCTTGCCCTAGCACCTCATCAGTTAGCTGCAATTAGCTCCCGCAGGGTACGCAAACGCCGACAGGATTCCAACTGGTGTTTAAGTCTGATCTGCAAATAGTCTGGCCAAATGTCTGGAAACCTTCCTGCGAGCGCCTTTGCCAGAGGGAGGACGGAAGCAAAGAGGAGCCGTGGCTTCAGCTCTTTTCGTCTCTCTCCTCTTCCGTCTGTTTTGCAGGAAGAGGAGCTCTTTGAAACCACAAGCGAGGAAGAATCAGGCAGTGATGAAGGCGATAGCCATCAGGTCATTGACGTTGAAGACCTGGGCAAGGTGATGCGCCAAATGAAGAAAGCCCAGGTAATCCCTCCTGGCGCAGATGATGATGATGATATTTTAAATTCATTTCATTTTATTTATTTTTATTTACATTTTAAACGTTTATTTTTTAATCTTTAACTTTATTTTGTTATATGAGTTTTAACTTGCACCTGCAAATTCCCCGAATCGCTGGCCACCGCTGGCGATGGACATGGCTCTCCTCCCTCCTTGGATCGGTAGAACAGCGCAGGTGGGCTAAGCGGAGAGGCACCGTGATCCAGGGGGTTCTGTGGCTCAGGCCGGACTCGAATCGCGATCTCCCGGGCCACCGTGCAACCCCTCAAGTCGCGACACCATTTCGGCTCTGAAGCTTCCAGAACGAACAGCTGCTTTACAACCCCCACTAGATCACTAGGCTTGAACAAAATGCCCCTTGGGAGGGCTCCATAATCCTCACCTGTCTCTTTTGGAAAGGGAGACACACACACACACCCGAAAAAACGACAACATCGCACCATCCTTGAGTGCTAAATGTTTCATTTTGCAAGAAGCCACAAAGCCGGTACAATCCTACTGGCTTTCCTCATTGTTTTGTCTTGTGATGCAGGCTATGCTGAGAGAGCAGCTGGATCAAGGTCTCCCCCAGTGTGTGTTTTTATTTTAACAGGAGGGGTGTGTGTGATGGGCTCCCATTATAATATCCTGGTGAAATGAAAAAATTACAGTTTTTGTTGCATTTGAATTGCTCGTCTGTATGGTTTTGGATTGCAGTTCTCATAATCTTTGAACTGCACGGCTGGAAGGGACCCGATGGATCCGGCCCGTCTCAAGGAGGCACAGTGGGGGAATCGAACTCCCAACCTCGGGCTCCACAGCCACAGACCGAAACCACTGAGCTCTCCAGCAGTCGCTAAATAATAACGATAATCTTAGAACTGCAAATGACAAAGCCAGTGGGGGTTGTAGTTAAAAAAACCCACTGTAGTCATCTGTCCATGGAAGGACCGGTCTGTCTGTTTGGCTTTGTTCCGCTTTCATAGTTTTAAAAACTTCTGAACTCTGAAAAAGCATGCAGAGGTTGGCAAATCGTTCCTAAGCCCCCAACCTTTCCTTGCCCATGAAAAAGCCCCTGAATTAGGAGGGAAAAAATCATCTTCTCAGTGTGGGGTCTGGGTTGCTTTCCCTGCAGAAAGAGCAGGATCTCGACAACGAGGCCGCCGGGTTGGCCGGATCCCCCTGGAGTGGAAGAGAGGAGGAGCGGAGGGAAATGATCACGCCGGCTCTCCGAGAGGCCCTCACCAAGCAAGGTAAGGGGCTGGGAAGCCCACAGCTGGACTGGTTATTTGTGGGTCTCGTCTGCCCCATATGGAGAGTCGATCTCCAGGTTCTGTGATTAGTCAGGGAAGAAAAAGCGGCCGTTCTTGGCATTTATTGGGGGGAAATAGAGCCGAGTCGGTCTTGGAGAAGGCCGCCGTGGAGAGATGATCCGATGCAAACCGGAGCTGCATGAATGGAAGCAGAGTGTCCAGGCCATGAGAAGAAATGGCTGAGCCACCCATTGGCATGTAGGGGATAGACTGCCTGATGAGGACCTGGGTTCAAATCTCTGCTCTGCCAGGGAACTTCCCTGGGGCCGTGGCAGCGCCGAACTCCTCCTCAAACATCTCACATCCCTTGGGGGATTCTGTTAGGGTCACCGTCCATCAGAAGCGACTGGACAGTGCGTGACGACAATAGCATTCTGTATGACTAGCTTGGCTTGCATTGTTGTGTGATCCTTTGTGAAATTGTGGGCTCGAATGAGATTGGTGACCCGGTTCTTTCTGGCCCAGGGGTCTCTGCTCTGCCTGGTCAAACTCTAGAGAAGAGGGCAGAAGATGATCTTGGAAAGCTTATGGCTCAGGGGGAAAAAAGAGTGCAGTCTTAAGGGAGCTACAGGACGCTTTGTTGTGTCTCCTGATACAGGTTACAGGTTGATTGGGAGCCATTCTGGAGTGAAACTGTGCCGGTGGACAAAGGTATTTCTGCCCCACTCCTTACAGTTTTTAAATGGGTGAGGATTTGGGGCCAGAATCCGCTCGGCTTCCTCACCCTTACCCCCTCTTTCCCGCTCCCTTTGAGCAACCTGAGAGGGATGAGGGCTAACGGGGGCATCTCGCTGCCTCCCTGCCTTCTGGCATGACCGTTTGGGGGCCCGTGTTTACTTATTGTTTTCCCCCTCCTCGTGTTTGGTCCTCTTTGTCTGGGGCCAGTCGATGCTTCGCGGGCGCGGCGGCTGCTACAAGCACACCTTCTACGGCATCGAGAGCCACCGCTGTATGGAGACCACGCCCAGCTTGGCCTGCGCCAATAAATGCGTCTTCTGTTGGAGGTGAGGAACGCGGCGGGCTCTCCTGGGGTGGGATTCTCCGGAGCGGACTTCCGTGTGGATTCTGGGAACCGGGGATGTGGAGGAAAGCTGAGTGGTTTGGGCATCTAGTTTTGGAGTCAGAAACTGGGGACAGTTTGATTCCCCATTTGGGGCTCCTTCACAAGGGTTGGACCCGATGATCCAGAGGGTCCCTTTCAGCTTCTGCAGTGCTAAGATGATGATTATTGGATAGTTCCGTGTTTTAGGTCTCTGGATGTGGAGCCAAAGGGTGGGAGTTTGATTCCCCACTAGGTCTCCCAGACGGGGGTCTGGACTTGATCACTCATAGGGTCCTTTCCAGCCCTGCAGTTCTAAGATTATAAGATTACAGTGGTGCCTCGCTTTACGATTATCCCGCATTATGACAAATCCGCTTTACGACGATCTTTTTGCGAGCGCAATTGCGAGCGTAAAACAATGGTCTAAATGGGGAAATTTCGCTTTGCGATGATTGGTTCCCTGCTTCGGGAACCGATTCTTCGCAAAATGATGATTTTTCAACAGCTGATCAGCAGTTTCAAAATGGCCACTGGGTAAATAAAATGGCTCCTCGCTGTGTTTAGGGATGGATTCTTCACTATACAGGCAGCGAAAATGGCTGCAGTATGGAGGATCTTCGCTGGACGGTGAGTTTTAAGCCCATTGGAACGCATTGAAAGGTTTTCAATGCGTTTCAATGGGCTTTTTATTTTCGCTTTACGATGTTTTCACTTAACGGCAATTTTCCTGGAACGGATTATCGTCATTAAGCGAGGCACCACTGTATTATGAAATGCAGCCTTTTTAGCAGTAGCATGTCCTAGAACATGTTCTCTCCTCTTTCTGACTGTTGGATTAGACATTTCCTGTTCCAGGGGGCATTTAAACGGAATGAGAGATATTCCACTATCTAGATTAGGGACATTCAGATCAGGGTTGTCAGATGGTTCAGCAACATGGGGAGAAAATGCTAGGGTTTTTTCTCTCTTTTTTTGAAAGTTGGACCAATTAATTAGGTTTCTTTTCATAAATTAATAGAGGGGTACTCTACATACTTGAGACCAGCTGTGCCTGTTGTTCATCGTCTGGTGTCAATACGGTATTTTCAGGCATCACACAAATCCCGTGGGCACGGAATGGCGGTGGAAGATGGACCCTCCGGAAAATATTTTGCAGGAGGCGCTCGAGAACCACCAGAACTTGATCAAGCAGTTTAAAGGTAAAAGTGTTCCCAACGGGATCATGGCTTGTGTGTACGGTGAGCCTCGTACTCATCAGGGCTGACAGCCACTACAAGCCCACGGAGAGGGGGGAGCCTCCCTTGACCACATCTCCGAGAAGGAGAGAGACTGCATGAACTGTTTTTAAAATGATGTTTTTAGGTCGATGGATTTATTCTCTTTTTAATCAGCTGCTGCTTCATGAATTGGACTCTTCTGTTTGCTTTCCATGGAAGGAAACGGATCTGTGAATCATAACCCGTTAATCAATCAGTCCTCTTTCTTTTTCTGTTCAATTAAGGGCCACTTTGTTGAGCAAGGCGTCCTTCAGGGTACGCTTTGCACACAAGTCCAGTGTGTTCCAGAGTGTTTTTGGACAATGACACACACCCTTGGCTTTGCCCCGTCCTCAGACGGTTCCTTGATTGGGCTTCTCTGGAATCGCCCTCTCCGTTTCTGTCTCATAGGCGTCCCCGGTGTGAGAGCCGACCGCTTAGAGGAAGGAATGGAGGCCAAGCATTGCGCCCTTTCTCTGGTGGGGGAGCCGATCATGTACCCCCAGATCAACCAGTTCCTAAGGCTGCTGCATCGCCGTAACATTTCAAGCTTTTTGGTTACAAACGCCCAGTTCCCAGAGGAAATCAGGTGAGATCTTGACGGGGTTTTCCTCATCTTTCTTGTGAATCTTAATAGATTTTCTTCCCGAAGCATGCGCACTAGAGTGGAAATGTCTTACTTTTCCTGAAAAACATATTTGAAAAGAACAAAGAGGTTGAGGGTCAGCTTGGAACAGCCTGAAAAAAAAGGGTTAGACAAATTCAAAGCGGTGGGGTCTTTTGTATCTGCTAGAAAAGGGTGGGTGTGCCACCTCCTCTATTAGGGAGATTTATCAGTTTCTGGGGAGTGTGAGATGGAAGGTGTGGTTGCCCTCTGCTTCTGGCCTGATCTTTGGGGCATCTGGCTGCCTCCATGGGAGCAGAAGGCTTTGGGTCCGATCCAGTGTCAGGGCGCTTGCTCTGTGGGTCCTGACGTGCTTCTCCCTTCTGCCCCCTTCCCTGAAAGGAACCTTGAGCCGGTCACCCAGCTCTACGTCAGCGTGGACGCCAGCACAAAAGACAGCTTGAAGAGGATTGACCGGCCCATCTTCAGGGACTTCTGGCAGAGGTTCTTGGACAGCCTCCGAGCCTTGTCTGAAAAGGTATGGCCTCCCGGTGTCCCACCTTCTCTGAGGCTAGCAGGCTGGCGTGAAGCGGCTTAAGACAACGTGGAATGTTTCTAGTCTGAGGAAGAAGAATTTAGCCGGGAAGGGCTGGCCCTCTGTGTCAGGGTTGGGACGAGTTTCAAATATTCTGGGATCAGCACCTGTTTCGTGTCTCTCTTAGGTGACCAGACAACCAGGAGATGGAATTTTCCCCATCAGTGTTCTGTGTATGCAGCTATACGAAACCTAGCTTCCATCCATCCATCCATCCATCCATCCATCATTTCCTTCCTTCCTTCCTTCCTTCCTTCCTTCCCTCCCTCCCTCCCTCCTTCCTTCCTTCCTTCCTTCTATCCTTCTATCCATCATCAGCTCCTCCCTCCCTGCTTCCTTCCTTATGCCCAGCATTACAGCTGAAAAGGGTCTGGGAGAAGTTAACAGAGCAGAGCAGAAAAGCCAAGCCAGTGTCTGCTTTCAGGCGTAAAGTTGAAAAACCTTCAGGGAGACAGCAGGCCTGATGGAGCTGGCTTCATAGGGGAACTGATGAGGGTTCTGTTTTCTTTCTGTTCTTTTGCAACCTGCTGGGTTGGTGGGTGGGTAAAATTTTCCCAGTGTGTGCTGAGAACATCGGCCTGTCCCAGCCCTATTCCTGCAGCCACAAGGACTGGTCACCGTTTTCTGCTTTTTAAAAACCTGGTCTGCATCACTCTGTGGCAGAGATAAAGACTCTGCCTTGCGCTGTGGGTTCTGTCCAAAGTTTTCAGACTGAAAGTGTGATTCGATTCACCTTGATTTCTCCTCTCCTCCCGTTCCCCAGCAACAACGCACGGTCTACAGACTGACACTGGTGAAAGCCTGGAACGTGGATGAGCTGAAAGGTTATTCTGACCTGGTGTCTCTGGGCAAGCCGGATTTCATCGAGGTCAAGGTGAGGGGCTGATGATTACAATGGAGTCCCACAAACTCGATCCTTGGCAATCTAGGGTGGGTTGGAATAAGGGATTTCTAGGATGAGGTTGCCGGGACCTGAAAACATTTCCGCGTTTCCTTCTCCTCCAGGGTGTGACGTACTGTGGGGAGAGCTCGGCCAGCAACCTCACCCTGGCCAACGTCCCGTGGCACGAAGAGGTGACCCACTTTGTCCGGGAGTTGGTGGCCCTCCTTCCGGACTACGAAATTGCCTGTGAACATGAGCATTCCAACTGCCTCTTGATTGCCCACAAGAAGGTGAAACGCCGTTCCATAAACCTCGTTGGGTGTGCTGGTTTCTAACCAGGGGTTGGGAACCAGAGGCCCCGGAGCTCAATCCGGCCCTCTGGATTCCAAGCCTTTGGGCTCTCCTAGTGGCTGAGCTGCCTTCTCCGCAATGCCACCTTTTGCTGCTTCTCCTATTTAGTGCAGGCTTAAAACAATAATAATTCTAAAAGGCTGAAATGCTACCTCTGCGCTTGTGTTACTAGGGGTGGGTAGGGCTTTCTGCTAAAAATTGGCTTCTTTTCTGGAGTTCCTGATCTTGTGTCTTTGAAATGCAGGTCCTGAGATCGAAGGTGCCCCTTAAGGTGAAAGAAGTTTCACACCTTCATTCTTGTCCCCTGGGCTGTGAAATTTCTAGCTTAATTCGCTCTCTCTGCTTCTTTTAAACAATGGCCTGTCTCCTTTGGGACATTTACATTAGGGCAGCGGTTCTTAACCTTTTCTTTACCACTGACCTCCTTTAAATATCTTTGGTTGCCGTGAACCACCAAGACTTAACTCAAGATTTAAAACCCTGAAGTGTATCAAATATTTAATTAAAGTTTCTCATGAAGGATCTTCAAATTTGGAGAGAAGGGAGAAATAAGTCTGTTTCCTTTTCTTTCTTTCTTTCTTTCTTTCTTTCTTTCTTTCTTTCTTTCTTTCTTTCTTTCTTTCTTTCTTTCTTTCTTTCTTTCTTTCTTTCTTTCTTTCTTTCTTTCTTTC